GGTAAAACAAGGGGAAACACCACAAGCTGCACCTTGGGAGGTTCAGACTGGACATCAGGGAGAAATTTTTCCCCAGGAGGGTCATGCAGCCTTGGGACAGGCCACAGAGAGGTGGGGGTCTCCATCCTTGGCTGGACAAAACTAGCCTGGTGTTGGTGAAAATCTCCTTGGAGCAGGAGTCCTCCAGAGGACCCTTCCAACCAACACTTCTGTGATTTTATCACCTCCCTCCTGCTGTCTTCAGCTGCTCATGTAATTGCAGATTTGATTATTGCAAGTTTTCCTTTGTTAACTCATTGCACAAGCAGTTGTTGCTACCTTTCATCTCAGCAGATGCTCTTCAAAGCACTTGCCCTAAATGTATTTGCTCTGACCTGCCATGGCTCCCCTCTTCTATCAGTGTACAATCTGCTTGATGTGGATTCACTTAACGCAGGGGTCTGCGTTGACTCTTCCCAAATCTAGCACCATTCCAGATCTTCTAGCGCTCAGACAATTAAAGATGCCTCTTTCTTTGCAGAACAAGTCAGCCAAACGGTTCTGTGTGCTAGCACACAAGCCGTGATGGACTGAGACAGTCAGGCTTTCCGTGTTTTGACCTTGCAGGAGAGAGCACTCCAGCTCTAAAACGAAATACTCACTAACAACAAGTTTGCCTTTCTTAGGTTACATTTCACAGATGCCTTAAATGCAGCCCACAGACTCTAAGTTGAAACCCACACATAGGAATCCACCACACTGCACCTAAAATCTGCCACGTAAGCTGGAGTTTACCTGCTATTTCCCAGGACCCCAGTCCCGCAGTGCTGTGCCGACCCCATAAATCGATGCCAGGGAAGTCCTGGATCTAAAGCGCACGCAGTGTAAAGCTGACTGCACATGCACTGCTGCAATGTCTAAGATTTCCTAGAACACAAGCAGCCTTGTCAGAGCAACAGCAACATTTCACGTGTTAAAAACAACCTTCTCAACGCTGAGCCCTCCCACGTATTTTCCAGTTGGGAAAAGAAAAAAATTGTCTGTGCCTGGAGAAACTAGGCGTACTGTTATTCTACCTGAAACGAGCTGAAAAACAGCAGCTATACTCATCCAG